TTCCATAGTTTGTTTAGTTCATCTAGCCTAGCGGCTAGCTATTCTGCTGTCTTTCTTGAAGCTGGATCTTTTTTTAAAGTTAATCAGTAACTTCTCTATGTCTTCTCCTAACTCCTTTTGTTTGGCAGCAGTTTCATCTAGATTTAGATTTTGTGACATCTTTTTGGATTTTTTGGTTGAGTCCCCAAAATGTTAGAGAGTTTAATTGAAAAACTTCTTGTTGTTTGTTTTGAAGTTAATTAATTTATTTATTAAAAATCTGACCTATTTATACAAAAATTATGCTTCTTAAAATTAATTATTTCCCACAGAAATAGACTAGTAAGCAATTTTATGCATTTATAAAATTCATAATTTTCTCATGTTAACTTAACATACGTATCATATAGGTTTCAAATTTACTTAAGTAAAATTAACAAACAAAATATATGTAATTTGCTTCACAGGGCGCTTTCCAAAAAGCCGAGAACGAAAAGCAGACGTTGGAGCATTCCGAAGGCAGGTAAGCGACCCAGTAACCACCCAAAGTCTTTTATTCCCATCAGCTTTACCTCTTTTTTATTGAAAGCAATGGAAAAGATGGTCGTTAGGTTTATAAGAGACGACGTACTGGGAACCAATCTCTTGCATGTGTCTCAGTTTGTCTGTCAATCAGGAAATTCTACTACGCTCGCTCTGCAGGGTCTATTGTCGATTCTCGAGAACTTACCGGACGGGCGGGAGGTGGCAGTTGGATACTTTCTTAATATTGAGGGTGCTTTTGATAACATCCCATATCATGTCATCTCCGAGTCTTGCAACAAACGGGTTAAATATAAATCCCAGCAAAAGCACTTTGGTTGCCTTCACCAGACGCAGAAGCAAGGATAAATTAACGACCCCAATTCTGTTTGGTGAACATATTGGTTACTCTAGAGAGGTGAGGTACTTGGGGGTAACCCTAGACGATCGCCTCTCCTGGAACCTACATAAATAGAGTCATCGGGAGGGCTACAACGGCCTTGTCGACGTGCAGGAACTTCATCTGTGGGCGCGTCGGCATCAGTCCTAGGGAGGCATTGTGGCTATATACCACCCTTGTTAGACTCGTGTATATGGGAGCCTGGACCCGTATTGCACAGTGTTTCAGCCCGAAATACATACAACAAAGTTTTCAGACAGCAGGGCAGCATTGCTAGCGTGTCACACGTTTTTAACACTCATACACGTTTTTAACATAAATTAAAACACAATAAACAAAAAAATCGGAAAAATTAAGCAAAAAATGAAAGAAATTCTCCACTTTTGCTATGTCTATAAAAATTTTAGCTTTTTTGAACCAATCAATTGGCTCTAAATGTGGTGGCGCTACTTTGACTCTAAATTCTATTACGCGACCCCGAATATTAAATCATTTTATGACGGATGTACATAGTTTACAATTATATACGCGTCCGGATTTTTGTGAAAAGAATGTATAAATTTCTCTAAGATAATTTTTCGCGTCATGCTTTCACCTAGCTTTATGAAGTAACACCAAATACGATAATTCAACCTATTACCTTATAAAAAGAAATCTTTTGTTATAATGTAAGAAAATCGTATTTTAAGAATTTAAACTGTAGGTTTAGATTCAATTTATAAATAGAATTTTCGAGATACGATTGTGCACTAGTGGGTTTGAAATAAATTATCCTGACATTAAGCGAATGTGAACTTATTAAAGCGAAAACTTAAGATATGCATTACTAAAAAAAGTAAAATCAATATTATTTTGTAACAAAACCTTATTTCGAGAACTTAAAATGAAGGTTTAGATTCTAATTAAAAATAGAAAAGCTTGAGTATCTATTGTGGTTTAATTTTGGAAATAAATTATTCTAACAGTTGCATCAAGATAAGTTGCATAAGAAGAATTTTAAGAAAGTTTAACAGTTTCTTTTTTGAAGTACTCGAAAAATTAAATAGAAAATACATTAAAAACATGGAAGCTCAACCAATGTTCAGCCTTGCTTTTGAGGAAAGTCAAGCAATTCTCACTCAAACTAGACTCACTCAACGATAACTAGAGAGCATCCGGATTTTAGATTGTTTTTCGACTGGAGTTGACGATTGCCACATCCCAAATGATAAGAAGGAAGACATAGACCAAAAATTATTGTATATTCATGCCTGACAATCGGTTCCCTGACATCTCATCATACGAGACATTTCATCATTGTAACATTTCATCATTGTAACATTTCATCATTATAGCAATTCATCATTGCACATTTCAACATTATAGCAATTCATCATTATTCTATTTCATCACCATAACATTTCATTTACATTAGTAAATACAGAATATTTTATAATTAAAACTAACGTGATTTGTAAATGAACAGTCAAAAACAAAAGTATGAAAAAAAGACCTTATAAAAACCTATGTTATAATAAATAGATGAAATGGAAAAAAGAACTAAATTTTTTGGAAAAAGAAAAGGTGCATAGATCCAAGTCCTTATTTCCATTTGAAAGAACAAATATTTCTCACTATATGCATGTGAATATTATTTATTTGAATAATTAAAAGAACTATTTGTTCAATAGTGGTAAGCTTAATTCATAATTCGTAAATTTATTAAGATTTTAATTTTGGTGAGAAAACATTTATGTATTTGTTTTTGTTTTGCTTTAAACTAAATTGTTTCGGGTGATATAATTACACCAGAACCGGATTTTTTCTCTAAGCAAAATTTGTTTTTGTTTAATAAAATGTAAATATATACGATATTCAAAATTAATTTTAATAATCACATACATACATATATTAGGAGGCGGATAATCATTTAAATTAACTCAATATACAAAATTCACACATATTTTAATATCGAAATAAAAGTGATAATACAAGAAAGTTTTTAACATAGTGTGTGCATTTTGAAGGGCAATAATATTGTAATATTAAAATACTTATACTTAGAATTAATTTAAATTTGTTCAAAAAGAAAGAAATTAATGAGTTGCCTTTAAATTTAACTTTTCTTACAAACAATTGAAGTAAATAAATATTTTAAAATATTTTTTATTTTTACTTTAAAATTATTTTTTTGTTGTCTTTGTTCCACATATTACACATGTTTCATAGTGGAAGCCAGATAAAAAAACAAAACAAATTTGCTCCAGTTACAATTCCTCGAAAAAAAAAGAGACAGCTAGGAAGATTTTGGCTTCATTGTTTTTTCCAACGAATGACTAATACTAAAGAAAGGAGCATCTTTCTTTCTATCTTGCTTGCATTTCTTAAAAAATCGCATGTAAAGAAAAACCACATTAAAGCCAAAAACTTCAGGTAAGTCTCTTCTTTGTTTCAAGCATTGTCAAATAATGTCAACCATTATATAGTATACATATATATAATAACATATATAATTAGTGTATAAAATTTAATGCCAATAATGTTGTTCTTTTCTTTCTTGGAGAAGTCAGCGACGCTTGTATGCAGAGTAAACAAAGAAAGTTTTACGATTTTTTTTTCAAATAGTGTATTTTGTGATTGAAAAATCATAAAACATTTAAAAAAAATTATGAAAAAAGATTATTATTTTACAGGAACTTATAACAAAAATGTAACAAATTAAAAAAAGAAAAACATTTTTTGAAACGGGAAAGCATGTTTTACTGGAAAACTACTCTTATAGATAGAGGAAAATGGGTGAACTTTTAGATTTCATCGTACCGCATCGAAAAAAGAAATAATAAAAATGTACGAGAAATTTCGAGTTTTGTAAAAAAAAGTTAAAAAAAAAATCTAACTTCATCGAGCTTTATCTCGAAAACTGTAAAATCGACTGTAAAGCAAGCTTCTAATAATAACTCTGTATTGTACGGTTCCGAAGTTGTAAATATTTATTTATATGAAGACGAGTAAAGCTGCAACCTCCTCCTCCGTAAAAGGTGAAATATGAATTAACCGAAGTATATCTATTAATGAGAGTTGTGTATGCAAGAAAGAAACAAAATTTGTAAACAAACGAGTGTATCAAAAACATTGAACTGAAATTAAATTAAGTTAGGTAAAAATTTTTTTATTTTTATTTTGATAATAACAAAATTTATTTTTCATTTTATTAAAGTTAGGTAAAAAATTCGAATGTATGAAAGCAGAAGAGTTTGAAATTTCATGTATGAATGTACAAAAGCACCTGGTACAGTAGATACACAGTCTAATCAGTATCAGGTAGTGACATAGAAATAAAGTAATTTATAAAGAAAAAAAAAAGGTGTATGCATACTGGTTAATATTTTATTCAAAAATTTTTTTTTTCAGTGGTTGATAATTTTTCCGAAATATAATTCTTTTTTTTTTTATTGGTATGAAAAGAAAACTTCCTTTTATTCGGAATAAAATACTTTTATTTTTCGCTAATATATTTCGTGCGCTACATACGCACTTTATCAAAGCTGATTTTCTTCTAATTAAGACAACAAACAATAAAAATTGAAATCTATTAAAATTAGGAATATTATACCTGACTTAATATAATCTACCTAACTTAATCTAGAATTTGATTATTTATTTTTTTTTTTTGTTTTTGTTATTATTTAAAAACTAAATTTATACCTGTTTTAAACCTTAAAACTGGTCAAATAATTAATTTAAAGAGCCAAGTAGCCGCGTTACCTTCGTCCGTGTTTAATAGGCAGTCCTTGTTTGATTTGTATATCTGCATGCTTTCATAAACTTCCCTCCTGTGTTTTCCTTTTACCTCTTTTAATACCTTTAAGTTATCTTCCGTGATTGTGTGATCCGTTTCATAAATGTGTTTTGCAACCATAGAATCGAAAATCCGGTTAAATCCTACTCTCCTTGGACGTTTTATTTCACTTAAATGTTCCTTAAGTCTTGTTGTAACGGGTCTCTTCGTTTGCCCTATGTAAAATTTATCGCAATTATTACAATTGATTTTGTACACACCGCATCTTTCATGTATCTTCAATTTATCCTTAGCCGAATTTAACAAACTCCTAAGTTGATATTAACTATTGGTTTCCGATGTCCAAATATTGTGTTTCCTTAGTTGTTTATTTATCAAGTTTGTACAGTGATGATCATAACTTAAAGATGCCCACGTTGTTCTTTGTTCTTCTAATATCCTGTTCTGTTTAAACAATGTACTCATATTCTCCTGCTCAATTTTTCGTTTTTTCTTCCTAATGAGTTTGTTAATACGTTCAGTAGAATAACCGTTCTTCACCCATGTCCAAAATGAAGTTTACTTCTGATCTATAGTCGTGTCTGTCCATCGGTGTGGTTAACATTCTATGGATCATAGAGTTGAACGCTGCCATTTTATGTTTCGTTGATTCTATGTAATTTGTAAATTCGATGTTTCTATGTAATTTGTTGATGCATCTGTTTATATTCTTCAGTTCTTCCTTGTCCACTATCGCGAAGACGTCATCAACATACCGCATCCATACTCTAGGCATCAGGGAATCCTCCTCCATTCTTTTTTCCAATTTGGACATAAATAATTCTGCGATAAATGGTGAAAGTGGATTGCCCATCGAAACTCCCGATGTTGTTCTGTACATCTCGTTTCTGAATTCGAAGTAATTCTCCTCCATGCAAAGTCTTGCTAATTTATGGTATTCTTTTACTTTGTTGTTCCAATTTTCTGTTTCTCCTGCTTGTGTTGATAACCATACTTTCAAATATTCAAGAGCTTCTTTAACTGGAACACTAGGAAAGAGCGCTTGGACATCGAACGATACCATTAATTCATCAGGACCAATCTTTAAGCCTTTCGTTTTTTCTATAAATTCCTCTCTATTCTTAATAGAACAGGAACGGAAATCCATTTCCCCAAATCTTTTCACGAGCCACTTCGCAATTTTGTATGTTGGGGCGCCGTTAGCGGAAATGATCTCCCTGAACTGCTCACCTTCCTTGTGAATTTTTGGTAGACACACCAGTTTCGGAACTGATGGATTCGGCATCGTCAAGTCGTTAATGTTGAAGTCCAGAAACTTACACTCCTTTAAAGCCTTCCTAACCTTCATTGCTGATTCCTTTAAAGGGTTGATCCTAGTTTTTCTAAAATTTCCGTTATTAAGTTTATCTATGATCTTTTCATCGTAATCGTCCTTATTCATAATAACGATAGTGTTTCCCTTGTCTGCTTTTATGTAATACACTGGCTTTTCATTCAAACTTTTCACCGTTGCATGTTCACTTCTGGTTTTGTTATCTAGGTTGCTGTTGTTGCTTCCTCTTAGTATTTTGTATACTTCTTTCCTAATGTTCTCCTTGGCTCCATGATCCGCTCCTCTTATGGCTGTCTCCACGTCTGCTATGTTGTCTTCCTTATCAGTTCGCTTGGGTGTGATTGCATATTTTAGTCCTTTGTTGAGAAGGTTCATTTCCTTCGTGCTAAACGTGTAAGACAATTTATTAACTACTAAGTTCTCGATGGGATGTGTTTCAATGTTCATCGGTTTAACAGGTTGTTGCGCATTCCTTAAAGTTCCCAGACGTCTCAATTTATTGTTTAAAATCATTCTTTTTCTTATTTTCCTGCATTTCTCGCCGGCCTTTATTTTCATAAGTAGTCTACTAAAGTCATCATCTGAAGCTCCCATTTCTTTATAAATCCAGGATAACTTCAAATGCGTAGTATACGAAAGCAAGTTCTTATGTGATAGTTCTGCGTATTTAGAATAAATACTCCCTTGTATAAGTTTTGCGTTCCGCTTTTTCTTGAACTTTGTCAGCCTTCGGTAAGTATTGATTCATTTTCAAACGATGGCTCCCCGGCGTGACTCCTTTCCTTAAGCATAATTTTAAAAATCTTATATCCTCACTTAAGCTAATAATTTGTTGTCTTAATTTCAAAAAACCGTTTATCAATCTATTTTGGCTGGTAACCTCCATATTCAAAAATGATAATTTTTCTGAAATATAATTCTTTTTTTTATCGACAGTATTGTGTAAACAATAGGTAGGTTATGTGATGGCAACAAATTTTGCATATCGAGTTTTCGGTGGGAACGTACTTCTCCATAGTAGGGAAGTGTAAATAAACTATTTTTAGCAACCTGTCGGTCTGTCGATCTGTCGGTCTGTGTGTACACGCGTGTATCTCAAGTTCGGCTGAACCGATTTTGATGAAATTTTATATGTAAGTTTATTTCCACCATGGCACGGATCGATCAACTTTTGGTATATATCAGGCCTCGGGAACTGCACTTTTTAGCGGGCCTGTTTTGCATTTTTGAGCATATTGAAGAACATATTCAGCCGATTTACTTGAAATTTCATATATAAGTTTTGCTCTACCGGCGATGAAACCTCCTAACTTTTGGAAGAAATCAGGCGTCAGCAACTGGACGTTTACTACGGGCCAAATATACATTTTTGTGTAAATAAAGAGAAATAATCAACCGATTTCATTGAAATTTAATATATAAATTCCTCGTATAAAAACTATGAACATATAAATTTTTTGGAAAGATCAGGGCTCGAAAACTGATTTGCGGGCCGATTTTACATTTTTCACCATTTTGAAGAAAATATTCAACCGATTTACTTGAAATTTCATATATGAGCTTTGTTTGACCGTCCATGAAAATTCCTAGCTTTTGGAACAAATCAGGTATCGGCAACTGGACGTTTACTACGGGCCAAATATACATTTTTGTGTATATAAAGAGAAATAATCAACCGATTTCATTGAAATTTAACATTTGAGTTCCTCGTATTAAAACAATGAACATGTAAATTTTTTGGAAAGATCAGGCATCGGCAACTAGACGTTTACTACGGGCCAAACATGCACTTTTGTGTATATAAAGAGAAATAATCAACCGATTTCATTGAAATTTAATATTTGAATTGCTTGTATTAAAACAATGAACATGTAAATTTTTTGGAAAGATCAGGGTTCGAAAACTGATCTGCGGGCCGATTTTACATTTTTCACCATATCTACGGAACGAATTGATGGAGTTTCTTAAAATTTGATATTTGAGTTCTGGTTGTTACCGAAACTTACTGGCGAGCTTTTCAGGGAAATCGGGTAGCACAAAGCGAAACTCTACTAAGAGCCAAATTTACATTTTTCTAGGTATGTTAACTATAAGCTTACTAATGTCCTAAAAATTGGAAAGAAGTATTTAACAGACATTTTTATAATATTCTGTAACACTTTCACTTAACTAGACAATACACATTGCGGTCGGTTATGTGCTGACCACATCAGATTTTTTTTTATTGGTATGAAAAGAAAACTTAGTTTTATTCGGAATAAAATACTTTTATTTTTCGCTAATATATTTCGTGCGCTACGTACGCACTTTATCAAAGCTGATTTTCTTCTAATTAAGACAACAAACAATAAAAATTGAATTCTATTAAAATTAGGAATATTATACCTGACTTAATATAATCTACCTGACTTAATCTAGAATTTGATTATTTATTTATTTTTTTTTTTGTTTTTGTTATTATTTACAAACTAAATTTATACCTGTTTTAAACCTTAAAACTAGTATTAGAAGAAAATCAGCTTTGATAAAGTGCGTATGTAGCGCACGAAATATATTAGCGAAAAATAAAAGTATTTTATTCCGAATAAAAGGAAGTTTTCTTTTCATACCAATAAAAAAAAAAGAATAATATTTTATGATATATAATTATTACCGCTTCATGGGAAAAATGTTCTAAATTTATTAAGATTGAAATAAAAATAAAAACTTTAAAGATAATTTATTTATTTTATTTATTAATAATTATTAATTACAAATGCTTAACACTAAATATTTAAAATATTTTCAAAAGTACAAAATATGTACAAAATTTTCAAAATTTCAAAAAGTCATATTTAGCTCTCCACATCTTTTGGCAACAAATGAAATTTTCGTGTCGGCTTTTTTTCATCCCAAACACTTCAAATAATGTTTTTTTTTTCCTCCACGGGCTCACTCACGTCGACCCATAGAAACTTTTGTGATTCCTATCCCCATACATTAGCTCTATTCCTAGGCCCCTGACAAACCGCAGTATGGCAGACACATCAAGCTAGGAGATGCTCCCCGGCGTCACAAAGCCCCCCCCCCCCCGAAGCACCTCAGCCCCAAGCTAGCAACCGCCTCGCACTCACGCAGCAAGTGCTCCATGGCTTCTTCCTCCTCCAGGCATAAACGGCAGACCTCATCCGCCACCCTGCCCATCCTTTTCAGCTGGATTCTCGTGAGGTAGTGTCCAGTGAGAACTCCCACTAATGTTCTCAAATTTGGACGTTTGAGCAAAGTCAGATCCTGCCCCCCAGTCCCAGGGGACGCACAAATTTTCTAGAGTGGGACAGGCCCAGGTGCTCTCCCATTCATTGAGGGTACGCAAGCCCATTGTCTTGGGCACCCCAAAACATGGCTCCGGCCCAATGAAGAGACCCGCCGCTCCCTCCCTGGCAAGACCATCAGCTCTCTCGTTCCCGTCCACCCCGTAGTTTCACAGCACCCACATTAAGGTTCATTTGTTGTGCCTGGCCAGAACGCTAAGGACATCATTTTTTCAGTAGCCTCGATCCCACTACATCAGACAAGAGGGCCCCGAGAACAGCCCTGCTGTTCGACATAATAAAAATCCCGCTCCTTCTTATGTTCCTTCTGGTACATTCTAGAGCACACAACTCTATGGCATATGTTTCAGCCTGAAATATCGATGGGCAGCGTCCGAGAGCCCTAGATACGCTTACGGCCTCTCCCTACACACCCACGCCCACCCCTTCATTGGTTTTGGATCCATCCGTATAGATGACAACGGCCCCAGGGCCAAGTTCTGGTCCCCCCGTCCCAGATCCGCCTTTCAGCTAGCTCCGCAACGTATGGCCTCACTAGGTTCCTCTCCTTCAGACCAAAGTCCAAGGGCATCCCCATGTCATGTACGCCACCGATCTCCTCAGAGATGCTTAGATGACCCGTAAGATCACCCGGCTTTGGCTCCCTGTATTGCCTTATCCGCAGTGCCCCTTTCATAGTCTCCCCCTTTAGGTGAATATGAAGCGGACCAAGCCCAGGAGAGCCTCCATCGAGGTCGTTGGGCACGCTCTCAGGGCACCACTTAGGCCAAGACATGCGAGGGCTGCAATCGAGTGAGAGCAGCCCGCGCCGTCGCCTGATTAGCCTTCTGCCACCATATGACAGAAGAATAAGTTGCAATTGGTCGAACAATTGTTGTGTAGGTCCACGTTTTCCCATAAAACCCCACGTTTTCCCATATAGCCTCGTCGAAGCCCATAGACCCCGGGTGGCCCTAACTATGACTCCATCAAGATGAGGCCCCCAGTTTAGTCGTTGGTCTAGGAATACTCCCAGATACTTGACCTCCTTGCAAGGCTCAATGTTTGTGCCCCCCACGAGCAACGGGCGCACACTAAATTTCCGTCGCCTAGTAAAAGGTACAATGACTGCCTTTCCCTGGTTAATGCCAAGGCCCTCCACTTCCGTCCAGTCCCGTATAATGTTTAGAGCACCCTGCATTCAGTCAGCCACGACATCATCGTGCTGGTCCCTCACAATAACGACCAGATCATCAGCGTAGCCCTGTACATTATATCCGCTATGAGACAGCTTGTACAGTAACCCGTCCACCACAATGCACCAAGGCAAGAGAGATAGGACTCCCCTCCTTCGGGCAACCACGCATGTCCCGCACTGTAATCTTGGCGCCTCCCACCCTGGCGGTAATATTTCGGGAGCCCAGCATGGCCCCGATCCATCTTAGGGTGGGTGCTTCAATTGCCTTGCCAACAGCCGCCCTTATTATTGACTTAAAAGACCCTCAACATCTAGGAAAAACAAAAAAATAAAAATTCAAATAATGTTCACCCATTTTTAAAAAAAAAAATTTTTTTTCACAACTATTTAAATTTTTTTTTAAGATTATACGTGTTTTCAAAATTTATTTTTATTATTCTTCAAAATTATATTATATAAATTATAGTAATTTTTTTTAAACACTTTCTTTCTTCTTCGCATTTATAATATAATACACATATTCTTATGTGTATATTTAAAAATTCTTATGTGTATAAAAACGAAAATAAGAAGGTATACTGCTTAACTCTTTTAGCTAAGGGAATTTTTTGTATACAAATATTGGTGAGTGATTGCATTAGTGTGATGTAAACCGAGGGTCGAATTACTTATTAATAGATATACTTTGAAATTAACTTTGACATTAGATTACAAAATTGCTGTTTTACTTCTAAAACTTAGCATAATATATTAATTCTGACCCTTTTTGCTTATATTTGCATATTAATTTTTTCATAAGTAATCAGCTAAATATGTGAACATTAGACTGTGTTACAAAGAATAGTTCGTCAAAGTTTAACGAAACTGATACATTTTTCAGGTCTATGATATTTTTTTGCATTTTGTTTTACTTTATTATTCCATTCAATATTTAGTTTTAACAAGTCTTAATAAAATCTTTAACTATAAATTTTTTACTATGTTTCATCTTTTTAACGTTTAATACTTAATAATTGAAATGAAATATTTTAAATCGAACTAACTCTTTCAATTTCTTACGACTTTATTTTCTTTTCCCTATTTTAATATTGGTTAGGTACATTAATATGAATAACAAAATTTTTTCTTGTCAAAGACACTGTGCTTACTGTGACTCTTTTTATGTTGGCTTTAGTTTTTTTCTATCAAACAATATAATCCATTGTCATAACATAACATTAAGTTTTTGAAGTTTATAATAATTACAATATTTTATTAATAAATTTTCTATCTTTTAAATTTTATGCTAGTACTTTCGCATTGGTAGAAATTTTGTACTTGACACGTTCTCTTCATATGATTCCTAATATAAAATTTTCTTCGTAAATTTCTTACATGTGTCTTTTACCGAACATTTAATGCCGTTTCCCTCACCAATTTAAAGTTTAATTTTAGAGCAAGTTCAATCACTTATAATGTAATCGATTCAATTATTTATAATATAATCGATTTATAATATAGTCGATTTATAACACTTCCTGAACTTGTTTTATTGCAACTTTCATAAGAATTAATAAATATCTGTATATATCTACCTGAATTGAAGAGTGGAAAAAGGAATAGATTGATTTTTCGAAATATTTTTTTTAACAAAATTTTTTATTAAATTAAAGGTAAAGTTATTTTTAATGATTAGTGATTTTGTGGGGTTCAAATGTTTTATATATTATAAACTTCAACATAAAGTCTAGTATTTGATTTTGATAGCTTCTGAGAAATAGTATGACTCATTAAAGGGTGGGAGTAAAACATGTATTTGTAATTTTATTCAGGATAAAAATTGAGTTAAATTTATATCTTTGGTTAATTTGAAAACCAAAAATGAATTTGATTCAAACAAGAAGAGACGAAATGCGGCTAGGTTAAATGTGTGATTTCCAAGTTGCGTTTGAATTAAGTACCTCTACTCTTTGCAGATAGTGGTGTCTGCTGCAATAATTAGATCGCTAGTTTAAAGAAATAACAGAGTCCACGAAGTGAAATATAATGGCTCAAAATCTACCAATTCGCTTTCAGGAACATTTACAGGTAAGTTAATTACTAAATTAATTATGCTATAAAACATTAAAACAAAAGTACGCCCCAAATATTTTATACATACAGACATACATATATATATACTATACGTATATTTGTATTATGTATATGTAGGTATACTCATATGAATGCATGCAGCGAAATAAGTACCTATCTAAAAACAATCCATTTTTATACATACTAATAGGTATTTTTGATACAATTTTAAATAATACATTTAAAGAAAATTTTGAAGTTTCAAAATTTATGTTTTGAAATGAAACATTGTTTCATTTACTTTAACTTTATTTTTCACTGACACTTTCTAAATCATGTTTTTTTTGCGTTTATTATACCCTGCATTTTCGTGAATGGTATATTCACTATGGTATGGAGTTTGTAACCATTTGAGAGGTCGCCTTCGGTATGGACATATATATATTATATTCTTGCTCAGCGTCAAATTCTGCGTTGATTTTGTGCGTCCCGTCCGATTGCACGGTAATCACAAGATTTTTCTTTTGTGCCAACGACGGCTGCTATTGTAATTGGGGTAATTCGGATAACGGGTTCGGGTAGCTGCTATACAATTCAAAGAGGTTTTTTTTTTAAATATTTCAAAAACTAATAGAGATATTAGTTTATCAAATTTTGTAAAGGTATGTCCAATTATGTTCTACATATATTTTGAAAATTTTAACGGAAGGACTGCACTACTTCGGATAAAAAAAATTGATGCACAGCTGATTTAACATGATGTGAACACAATGCGTATTTTTGACATTTTTGGATACCAAACTTTAAAGTATTACCGTATTGATTCATTTTCGTACATGATTTTTACATGATTACACATCGATGCTGCATGGGTTAGGTACTTTGCGATTAGACCCAACGTACCTATGTACTTATGGTACATATCTAATTATCTACTTTTTTTTTTCAAATCTTCAACGTAAAGTTTGGCCTTATTTGAAGATCTATTGCATTTTTTGGTAGACTTCTAATAAAAAAGCTGGTGAAAAATAGAAAAGTATTAAGCAAAATACTTCTATATTTGTGTTTATGAAAAAATCGAAAATTACAATATTTTCGCAAAAAAAAAAAAGGTCTGGAAAAAGTTTCACTTGTGCAAAAAAGGATCGAAATTGAAGCTCATGACCACCTATGTACTTGAGAAAATGGAATTTAAAAATTAAAAAACAACTATTGAAACCAGGAAAATTTTTAAAATTAAATAAAATTTAATAATGATATGGGAATAACCACAGATATTGACAAAATGCCAAAATGTCCTGTGGCACCATTTTAACATTTTCCACTCTAATTTTCGAATTCGTGAAAAGTGTAATTAATCTATCTGTAAAAATATTTTTCATACGTTGAATATTTAGCGTGTGTTAGTGCTTATTGGTATGTTTGTGGTACCACCTATATTTTAGCGCCTTACAGACAGTTATTATGTTTTTTACCGGATCTTATAAAATATTAAAATATACTTCCAAAACACTTAAAAAAAAGTAATATCTGATCTGCCATTACAAATGATCAAGGGAAATAAATTTATATGAAATATATTTAAATTTTAATACATATTAATCTTACTACAATTCAAAAGATGTCTCTTAATTTAAAAGAAACTAATTTTGGTATTAAGAAATCACCGTTAAAAATGTTTAAAAATGAGTTTAAAAAGGTGGTGTTCTCATGCTACATGTAAACTGAAAGGGTTAAAGTTGAATGCTAAAAAGTAGGAAGCCAAAATATTACGATTTCAATGCTGACCAAATCAGTTACCAAAAAGGCAAACTAAACTACACAACTAACATATCACTTGCTTAGAATTATAAGGTTCTATCATCCAAAAATGAAAAAAAAAGAGTTATTAATACCGAAGGGTTCCATGAGCCTATAAGAAGCTAAAAGAACGAAATCAAGCACAAAGATTTTAAAATTTTTCTAATATTGGCAAAATGAAATTACTCTATTTACAAATTGCTATGGTTTTGTACTAAAAATGTTCTGAGTGTCAAATGGAATCTTTTAACATCTATCTTATAATCTAAATTAAACTAAAAATCTAATAAATTCTTTTAAAAATGGAACTTTAAATTATTGAAATTTTGAAAAGTTGTTTTTTTATTTTGTTTTTAAATGTTATTTTTGAGTTACATATTTTTTATTGTGAATGAATATGAACTTGTTTTTTCTTATATTAAACGTAAAATAAGTAATAGTTTGGTTTAATAATGTTTTTTCATGTAAGATGCAAATATAACTTTCCCTAAATTATGTTAATCCCGTATATACAACAGCAAAAATTCTATGTTCCACATAGAACCTTTGTGTAAAAAAAAAGCCACTCTTAATTTTGAAGGTTCTATGATTTTCAATTGTAAATAATATAAAAAGAGGAAATTTCTAGAGTATACAAAATAATTAAATTAACAATAAGTTTTAATCGACAAAAATTTTTTTTATTAATTTGACGCATTAAAAAACACTAGAGTACAAATCATTAAAGCGCAATTAGGCAAAACAGTAGTTGGTCACTATAAAACCTTATTATTCTAGGCGAGAGCAATGATATCTAAGCCGTATCCACATTTACTTAATGCGCCAAGCCAAGTTAAATGGAAAAAGTGTAAAAAATTCAAATTCCGAAAAACTTCAATGGCATTAAAAAATTTTCATTTTGAAGATATTTTTGTATGTAAAATTTAAACATTTTAAAAATCTTATTTTGAAGTTTCATTTTGAAAATAAATTTTTACTTTTATTAGCACTGTTTATAAATTCTGAGTATGGAGGTTGATAAAAATGGTTATTTAGATCCGTTCTTGTTATATGGTCATTAAATTAATATACTAAAAATATTTATTAATTTGATGTTAAATTAATTTAATTAAATTAGTATACTAAAATGTTTATTAATATTTGTTTACTAAAATATGTTTATTAATTTAATTTTCTTATGTTCTTGAATTAAAATTATATGACCATGTAAGCATGTGGTACATAATGTGGGCAGGTATATTCCATGAAACAATAAAATATGGATAGCTAGTCGTATATGTTTTTCTTAGAAAAAAAAGTGAAGTTAAAATGTAGAGACTCAGAGTGTATGAATGACAAGTAAAAATGTTCGTCTTTCAAAATGTTGTTTTTCGTATTGCAATTTCAGAAATATTAAAATTTTCCCCTATTTTGCTTAAAATAGTTGTGGGATATAAAGATTTAAAAAGTTGTGGGAAATTGAAAAATAAAATTTCAATTTAAAATATTTGATTTTAATTTTACATATGTATTATTTAAATAAAAGTTATTGTATAAATAAAATGGTAAGGTAAAAAATTACTAAAGATTACATAAATTATTTAAAATAAAAAAAATATAATAAGGTAATAAAATGAATTATATTATAACAAATACAGATTATACAAACCAAATCATATTAAATGAAAGTAAAAGAAACAGAAAGATGCATAATGCAAAGAAATCATTGACCAGAAAAATGTAGAAAATTCGTCATTTGTGCCGAATATTTTTTTTTTCCTTATATCTAGAGTCATGTTTTTGTTTTTATTCTGAAAATATTAATCGCTTTATTTGCATTATACTTATTTAGAAAATTATAAAAAATGTTATTGACTGTAACCACAGACATTTTTATATAAGACATCGCAATACACAATTTACTTATACATACATACGGTGTATTGAAAATTGATCATCGTATTTTTGTTAAGAAATATCTATATTATATATATATAGCTACTTCTCAGGTGGTAAAAAGTACGGGTACTTCTAGAAGGGTTAGAGACATGGGACGAAAGGCATTAGATAGAGTTTTGCCTATAGGGTCCCAGAAAAATCTGACATTGGAAGTTTTTAGCCCCGAAATAGCTTTATTTTAAGATTTTCTAAAACAATTTTTGTATAACAAAAGCACGTTTTTCTTTTATACTTTTTATAATTAGAAACACAAACCAAGAAATAAATGATACGTTTTACGTTATTTTTATTATTAGAAACACAAACCGAGAAATAAATAATATTTGAAAATATAATGATCTCACATATTTTTGGTTCGGATACTCGAATTAATCTTAACATAAATAAATGTCAGCTTTTATCAGACATCAGATGTTTTGTGACATCTGAATATTAATATTTCATTTGTTATTGTTTTGAACATTACGTTTCGTCAGCAAGCTTTAAAAAAATATATGTACATACAGAATATATGTATGTACGTATGTAGTTAGAATTTTATTTTTATTGTTCGAAACGGAAAACTGTAAAATGCTAAATTTTAATACATTTATATGTACATACATATATTTGAATAAAATTATTATTTTGTTTTTGCCTAAACCTTTTCTTTATTTGAAAAATTACATTCATATGTACATATATATATTTGAATAAAATTATTATTTTATTTTAACCTAAACCTTTTCTTTATTTGAGAAATTTATTTCTATACATATGTTCACCCGCAGTTTTAAAAAAACTAGGTATACATTCATAATAACGTGTGTTTGCATTAATAATTTTATTTCTAATTGTCCCAACAGCAAAATTTCAAAATTTTCCATTCTAATACATTGATATGTACATACGTTCAAATGTTGGAACGAAAAATATTAAAATCTTCAATTCTAAAACTTTCATATGTACATACATACATATATTCATATATACATACATACATATTTGAATAAAATTATTATTTTGTTTTTGACTAAACCTTTTCTTTATTTGAGAAATTAATTTTTGTAAGTTTACCCCCATGATATAATAATTATGCGTTTAAAATTTATTTCTATATATCTACAGTTTTGAATATTATTAAATTCATATAGAAAGCTTAAAAAAATTACTCAGGAAGCTTTAAAAAAAAATATACATACATACATATTTATGTACTTAAAATTTTTCCGAATTTTTCCAAACTATTATAAGAATATTTTTTTGGAAATTGTCTTTAAACTTTTATAATAACATTT